TCCTCCTCCCTTTCCTCTCCCCCTCCCTTTATCCTCCCCGTGTGTGTGTGTAAACATATGATCATGCCAAAGTGTGCATGTAGAAGTCAGAAGGCAACTTGTTGGAACATATTCTTTTCCACTGTGGATTTTGGAGATTTGAACTCAGGTCTTCAAGTTTGGCAGCAAGTGTCTCTTCTCCCTGGGCCGACTCACTAGTCCTCCTACTCACTATTTTCTATTAAGCCTAGCTGTCTTGCTAGACTTGCTGTCTCTTTGGCAAAGTCTTGTGGAATTAGCATCGTTTGGCTGGTGATGTTCTGTGGCATACGACCAGCAGCAAGGGCTGCAGGTTGCTCAGAGCCTTGGTTTTCTGTCCCAGAGACAGGGTCCTATGCTCTGGCACCTCAGCATGGCTGCTGGGAGGCTGTCTATGTGGGTGGCTGGAGAACAGAATGGGCTGCTTGATGGTCAGTGCTCTCCTCAGAGCTGGGTCCCAGGCTGTCTGGTGTGGTTATCGAGTGCCTCTGTCTCTGACCCCAACTGTGTCTCTTCAGCCCAGGCGCTGCGGTGTCATGAATGCAGTGGTAAAGAGAACTGCTACAGGCCTACATCTTGCCAAAGCAAGAGCCGCTACTGCTTGACCAACTGGTATAGTGAGTATCTTGGTCCTAGGTAGACAGATCAGGGGACAGAACCTGCATCTGGCACCCGGGGAATTCTACTTGTTGGTAGAATTGGGGAAGCTGGGCAGATATGTCCCTGAGAGCTTCCTGCAACTGTTCAGGAAAATGTTTCGAGTGTCCAGTCCTCCCTGCAAAATGAAACCCAACACCCCTGCCATAGAAAGAGTGGGTGGGATATCTCAAGTGAGCTACTGTGTGCAGTACAGGCACACGAAACATGCAATTCTAACTGCTGCCAAGAGTGCTAGCTACTCAGAAAGGAAAGGAGGGGGTAGGGGAGCAGGTAACCCTAGTCATATTTCTGTGCCCCGATCCTGGGTCCCACGTGGAGTCCAATTCTCATCATACTCTGAACCTCGATCCCGGTCACACTCTGAGTCTTGATCTTCATGATCCTGAGCCCTGGCCCTGGTTACATACTAAGCCTTAACCCTAGCCACATACTGAGCCCTGAACCTGGTTACCTCCTGAGTTTGACCCTACTGACATCTTGCTGTCTGACCCTTTGAACTGGAGGTTGCAGGTGACCTGGGTTTGCTGACGGGGCCAGGAGTTGGTCTTATAGGTCTCAGTAAATGACTCTCTGCCCTCTGTTTCCAGCACCGCCAGGCCAGCAAATGATTGTGACAAAAACATGCTCATATACCTGCCCTGACATTCATCAGACCACAGCCAACTCCAGGGCCTCTTGCTGCAACACAGACCTCTGCAACAGTAGCGGGAGCCTCCATGTTAGCTGGGGACTGCTGACCCTCAGCATCTGGTATACCTATCTCAGCCGGTAGGTGCAGCGCTCACACACAGGCTCACAAGCCGTCGTCGTTAAGAGTCAGAGCGTGATGTCATCATGAGACTGGAATGTGTAGCCACAGGCGGGGTACTTGTTCAACTCCAATCAGAAGGATTCCAAGAGACAGCCTCACCCATGTGGCTGAGGGAGACCGGGGCTACTGCCCAGAGTGCTACATTCAGAACTCTTGTCTGGTCATCTGCTGGCCTCCAAGAGTCGGTTTGAGGAAGTTGTCAAGGTCCTGAACCTGTTATTGGGGGCTGAGGTAGGCCCCTCAGGAAGCCCAATGAGCTATTTTAGCTGCTTCCTTTTTTTTTCACACACATCCATGGCTCCCTCTGATTACTTCAGAGGAACTGAGCCACTACAAAAGAGTTGGGCTTCAGTGTCGTCATTACCTGCTGACTGGTGGCCCAGTAGTGAAATGTGCTGCTTTAACCTGAATTCAAAGACGCTTGGCAAATGGAAACTCTATGGAGAGGCCTCTTTTCAGGCTGTGAGGGAAGAGCAGATGCTGAGACAGATTAGCTTGAACAAGCTGTGGGTCAGACCGGTTTCAGCAAGATTGTTGCATGCAATGCCAGCTGTGTAGCCTACAGCCCCAACATATCTCACCCCTGAAGATTTTATCCTGAGACAACACCAATCTCCTCAGTGCTTCAGAAGCCTCTGTGAACGCCAGTCTATTCTGGAGCAAAGAGCATCCAGAACTGTCCAGCTGTGAGTGAAACCTGAAGCGTTTCCTCTCTTCTCTGCCAGTGGTCCAGCTCCAGGACCCGTCAGTCAGCCCTAGCGACTGTACATCCTCCATCAAAGAGAAGCTGCCCCGTTTAGTGTGTGTCTGCCTCTCTCCTCATATCTGAAAGCCTAGGCAACACCTTGCCCAGACAAAGAGAATGAATCTGGGAACTAAATTCTAAACTGGCAGCAGTTTTGGTGGGTGACTTCCCTGACTGGATTCTCCCTAACTCTCCAGAGCCATCTTTAGAACACTGTCATTCACTCTACGCCCTTGTTCCATTCCAAATGCTTTCTGTGGTGTTTTTCATAGATCATCCATCACCTAGGCTTGATCAAAAGGCACCCAGATGGTGGTGTTTTCTCCTTACACAAGGGTGTGCTGTGAGGCACCAGCTCAGCGCCCTGGGCTTTCCACTTGCTTATCAGTAAAATGAGAATACAAGGCTTTGTGTCAAAAAGGCAGAAACAACAAATTAAGGCCCAAGATGTGGTTCAGATGGTGGAGCGCTTGCTTTGTGTGAATCCTCGGCTTCCATTCTCAGCGTTGTGTCAAGGGAACGTTATGGCTCCATCTGTAACCCCAGCACTTTGGAGGTGGAGGCAGGATGGTCAGAAGGTCAAGGACATCTTTGGCTTGATTGCAAGTTTGAAGCCACTTGAGGCCAACCTGGGAGATAAGAGACCTTCTCTAAATAAACAAACAAATAAACTATGCTATAGTCTCATTTTGTCTAATTTATAAAACATGTGTGTGCATGCAAAAAGTTTGTAATTTTTTTGTTATGACAGTGTTTCCCAACTACTGATAAGATCTTTGCATCATCACTTTGCAGATTAATGGAAGCGATGAGGGCCAGAGAAGGTGAACCACAGGGTCAGGGTCACTAACTACACTGGGTGTGCGTGGTGTGAGGGGCTATGGGTTAGTGTTAACAGGGTGATGCTGGCCAGACACTGCAGATTTAAGAGATCTTTCAGTGTAGATGGTGATCCCCGATTGTCCAAGGAAAGGAGCTTGCTTGAAGTGCTGATGCCACTCGAGCTAGCTGCCATCAGTCACTGCCTGGCTTCTGTCCAGAGTGTCCCTCTCTTGTCAACCAGTATCTGTGTGAGTCAGCAAAATTGATTTCTCAGTTCTGAATTTCCTGTTCTTTATCTTATCTATGATCACTTTTCTTTTCTTTTTAAAAGCAACTTCTGAGAATTCTTAGGATGAAGGTCTTCTGATTGTCAAACCAATGACCAATGTCGTCGTTTGCTGTTTGAAATGTCTCACCCCATCCTCTTACATGGACACTGAGCTGAATTTACAGTGCCAGGTTGATGGCTGTGTCCCCTTTGTACATTTCTTGTATTATGCCATCATCTGCTGACATTTAATGGTGCTGTTAGGGCATAATTAAGTCCTTTGTCTAAAAGCTGTAAAAGCCATAGTCCTGTGGGCTTTTAATACATTTGTTTCATTACTAGCCTTCTGTGTAGAAACTCTGAGGATGCTGGCTTTTATCCACAGTTGCTCCCGAATTTGGGCGAAGTCCCTTAATCCAAGGTCCTTGTTATATTGACACGTTGGCTTGCTCATATCAGTTACTAAATCTCGAACTAAAGTGAAGAATAGAATGGGGTGTGGATATGTTCACACTGTCACAACATCAAGACATCGTAGACCCAAATGTTATGAGTCAGGGACACCTGGGCATTGTGTCTGTCAGATGTATTTGAAAAAAGATAGAGAGGACCCCCCCACACACACACCCCTACGTCACCTCTTTTACTACACTGTGAGCAATAGTCCCACTGAGTGTTTCCACACAGAGTCACCCTTCCTGATGCCTGACCTACAGAATGGGTGGCAATTCACCTCGAAGAGTCCTTGACTTGCCACAAGCAATTGTATCATGTCTACATTTGACATTACTAAAATAATTTGGCTCATTATGTGCGCATACCTTCTTGTAGCTTAGGTTGACAGTAGATAGTCACCCTGAAAGTAAAGACTTGCCTTTCACTGGCATAGCACTCAGTGCCTGGCACAGAGTGTTTGTAGCAAATATGTGTTGACTGGGCACATAAGCAGGTGGGCTTGGCTACTTACTGTAAGTTTTTATAGGCACTGACACTGCTGACTGATATTGTATAGAGAACAAAAGGCTGAGGAACAGCCTTCAAATGTGATCAGATTTCTGCAAGGGAAGCTTGGAAGATGCCTAGAGCAAGGAGACTTCACTGTAGCCTCAAGGCAAATGCTGCCATTGAGCACCGCCTCTCTACTGCAGCCATGGAGGCTCTTCCTTCCATGCGTGCTGCAAGCAACCGTCTTTAGGGGATTTATGAGCCAGAGACTCTGAAAATGCTGACAATCTTTCTACATCTAACAACTTCAAATATTCAAAATCATGTCAAAGTGCATCTCGGGGATGTTGAAAGCACACAGCATCCTCTGGGGCCCATAAAGAGGAGGGATCTGGACAAAGGATCAGGCGGCACAGAAACCAATTCAGCAAGCTCCCTGTGTGGGTATAGTTGCTACTTGCATCTCACAGCCTGATACGTAAGATCAGAGGTTAAGATTTAAGTTGGGTTAGAATTTGGAATGGAAACCCTACTGAGGTCCTAGTCCTCCAGGACTGTGAATTCCTGAGAATGTCCAATAGCACCTATCCACCCACAGGAGCAGAAAGAAGCTTCCTCCTTCTTAAATCTGCAACATGAGTTTAGTAGGAGATACTTGGGAGAGAGGAAGTGAGGACCTTTTCTCCTTTACTTTTCTGAATCTGCTCCTAAATGCAGAGAGACAAACCCATTAAAATAAAACCATTTCTCAGGTAACTAAGCATTTAAAAAACTCAACACCAGGCATCCGGAGATGTCAAGGATGGTTAAGATCCTGCACCCTATGAGATGTAGGCTGATACGTTTGTGGCCACTCCACAATTTGCTCTAGTAGAGATAGGAAGAAGGACTTCTAAAGATTGACTATCTGTTTTCTTTTTTGTTTTGTTATAGTCTTTGTAGGGAACCCAGAGGTTTCTCGTGGCTTCTTCTAAGCTTTACAAGTCAGAATAAAACCTTGTCACTATCTTGGATGGCCTTTTGGGGAGTAGCATAGTGTAGTCTCCGGCAAAAGCTCTTTCTCTGGTGACAGCTATTTCTGTCTTGATCTTCTTATTCATCGAACTCATTCAGGATGTGGTGTATTATTGTCCTTTCTATTCCTGGGGGGATGGGAGAACACAGGCTGGCAACAGAAAGAAAGAGATTATCGTCTGGGAAGTATCCCTGACCCAGGTCTGGTCCATGTGAAACTTCAGGTGAACCCAGCCTGCCATATCTGCAGAGAGCAGTCTGCATAGACATTGTACCGCCTGTCACCAGAGGCTTGGAGCACTGGTGAGCACTGGGAAGAGAACAGCAACTCACAGTCTCAGGTTGAGCAGCTCTTGTGTAATTCTTCCCCAAGCTCCAAACGTGGACTCCTGAGCTGACGTTACAACTTCAACTCTCAGTCACCCCTCTCTTACTTGTGTTGCAACTGTCTTGAGGCTTCCCCTCCTCTGTCCCCCTGTCCCCGTCCTCTCTTCCTGGAGCCTGGCTTCAATGCCTCAGGTAATACATTAAGAGTATCATATTTTTGGTGAGGAAATGCGTATTTCTAAAATCTCAACTAAACCTCTGTTTTGTTTTTTTGCCTCTGGTACTCAAGCCAACCTGTCGACACCAGCCCCTCAGTGTCATTAACAGGAACAGGGCAACCCAAAGGGGAAGGACTGGTCCCTTATGTCTGTATTTTTGAGAGAGTTTGATTTGCTCACAAGTTGGCAGAGGGGAGATTTTTTTTTTTTGAGGTCTCTGTTTGAAAAAACTGTTTGATTTCATTGGATGCTCTGAGGCAGGACCCTCAGTAGCTGGGGCAAGCATTTACACACTTTCCCCATCAAATCCCTCCTCTGAGTTGTTCTTGTCAGAGTTCTGACTGGAGTGTCACATTTTCAGACTGGCCTGGGAGAAGACCAAGGCAGCAAGGGTAAGGATGTCTGCAGCTCACTGCTGTTAACCAGAGAGTTCCTAACACTTCCTTCCTTAGGCCTCAGAGAGAGGAGCATTCCATCCAGAGAGGTAGGTAAATGCCCTAACCCAGGCTTATGGCTTATTCATTTTATTATTTAGATTTTTTTTATTTTGAGACAGGGTCTCAATTGACCTGAAATTTGTGACAAAGCTCAGGTTGGTCTGGAGCTTGCAGCAATCTTTCTG